TGCCGCCCCCCCCCCCCCCAGCAGACCAGGGAGACGCAGAGCAAAGCCGTGGAGGACCCAGGTGGGGGGACCGCCCAGATGTGCCACGGTCCCCCCGCCCAGGTCCTCCGCGGCTTTGCTCCGCGTCTCCCTGGTCTGCTGGAGACCAGCAGACCAGGGAGACGCGAAGCAAACCCCGTTCGTAACTGCGGATCCGACATAAGTCGGGGACTGCCTGTAGTTCTTTCAAGAGCTAAATGGGGCACAGTGTGAGGGGAAGGGATAGGGAAGTACATGAGAAAGTGCGCAAGTGTAGAAGATCTGAACAAACAAGAGTGGGCAAAGGAGATGGGGAGAGTGGGTGTGAATGAGTATATCTCCTGTTAGAAAGGCTCACTGAGTTGATTCCCCTTTGTTATATAAAAAGATTTGGGGAAGAGAAGGAGGGAAAGGCCTGCTGGCAGGGTGTTCTCTGCAAAACCGTTGGGACTATGAAGCTTTCTCTGAACTCCCGTTCGCCATTCTCCCCCAATAAGCTAATTTAGCCACCTTCTAGATATGCTGCACAAGACATCGGTTTGACAGGCGGTTGGGCTATGGTGAAGGGTAGGCTTCCCAAAATGTCAAAGAGAAGAAAACAGGGTTGTTTGCAAAGTAACTAGTTGGCTGAGATCCTGTTTGACTGGATTATTTTAATGCTCTTGGAATATTATTGCAGTATTAATTATGTGTTAGTCACCTAAAACCTTCCGTATGTGTCTGTTTATTTTTACTCTAGATAAATAAGTAAATATCCAATAACCTTTTTAGTGATGCTCTGGAACCAAGCTGCATATCTTTTCTTGTCCAAACTTTTCAGTGTCCTATGTTACAAGTGAAAAAGATTTTCCTGTACAGATGTCTTGGAAAAGCTTTTGCAAATGTATTTAAGCCTCTGTATTAGTAATGTGTTCTCACACTACTCAATACCTATGAATTTGTAAACAATTGGAAAAGCAGCTCCTCCATTTCCCATATCCACAAAGACTGAATAGTCAGGATTCTGTTTTTCCTTAGGTGACAGCAAAAGCAGCATTTTAAGGGAATAACTGATTGGTTTTTCTGCAAGAGTTGACCCCAACTAAGTAAAAGTGGAGAGACAGTAGCTTCCAATACACAAGTGGCAGAAACTAGTTCCAGTAAGTTTCATAAACATCTGAGGAACACACTAAACCACGATCTACAAACAATTTTTATATTTTGGTTAGGAGTGACTGAATTGAGGCCTAATCAGCGCAGATTAGAGGGGAAGAATTACTTTTCGTATCTTGCTCACAACACTCCTGTTAATGCATCTCAGAATGACGTTTGTTTTGCTTGCAACAGTCACACTGTTGATTCATATTTAGCTTGTGGTCCACTATGACCCTAGATCCCTTTCTGCAATTCTCCTTCCTAGACAGCCACTTCCCATTTTGTATGCATGAAATGGATTGTTCCTTTCTAAGTTGAGTACTTTGCATTTGTCTTTATTAAAATTTATCCTATTTACCTTAGACCATTTCTCCAGCTTTTCCAGATCATTTTGAATTATGATCCTACCCTCCAAAGCACTTGCAACCCCTCCCAGTTTGGTATCACCTACAAACTTTATAAGCGTACTCTTTATGTCATTATCTAAATTGTTGATGAAGATATTGAACAGAACCAGTCCCAAAACTGATCCCTGTAGAACCCCACTTGTTAGGTCCTTCCAGAATGACCGTGAACTATTGATAATAACTCTTTGGGAACAGTGATAGAAATGTAGCCGTGTTAGTCTGGTGTAGCTGAAACAAAAAACAAGACTATGCAGCACTTTAAAGACTAACAAGATGGTTTATTAGGTGATGAGCTTTCGTGGGCCAGACCCACTGCCTCAGATCAAATAGTGGAAGAAAACTGTCACAACCATATATACCAAAGAATACAATTAAAAAAAATGAACACATATGAAAAGGACAAATCAAATTTCAGAACAGAAGGAGGATGGGGGGGGAAGGTAAATGTCTGTGAGCTAATGATATTAGAGGTGATAATTGGGGAAGCTATCTGTGTAACGGGTAAGGTAATTAATGTCTTTGTTTAGACCTAGGTGTAAAGTGTCAAATTTAAGCATGAATGACAGTTCAGAGGATTCTCTTTCAAGTCTGGTCTGAAAAGGTCTTTGAAGCAGGATGCAGGTAAATCAAGTCGTTGAGACAATGCCCTTTCTGACTGAAATGGCAAGAAACTGTTTTTTCTTTGTGATCCTGTCTAATATCTGTTTTGTGGGCATTGATTTTGATTGTATCCTTTGGTATATACGGTCATGCCAATTTTCTTCCACTGTTTAATCTGAGGAAGTGGGTCCGGCCCACGAAAGCTCATCACCTAATAAACCATCTTGTTAGTCTTTAAAGTGCTACATAGTCCTGTTCTTTGGGAACAGTTATCCGACCAGTTATGAACCCACCTTATAGAAAAGCCCCATCTAGGTTGCATTTCTCTAGTTTATTGATAAGGTGGTCATGCGAGACTGTATCAAATGCTTTGCTAAAGTCTAGGTATACTCCATCTATCACTTCACCCTTGTCCACAAGGCTTGTTATCCTATCAAATCAAGCTATCAGGTTGGTAATATAAGTATAATTACAATAACAGAATCGGAGTTGCTCTGGTAAACACCTGAATCTTTGCCAAGAGCAGCAAGAGAAAGTGAAATGGAAAGGGAACACAAAAGGTGGAAGGTGAAGCATGTCTATAGTCTCACCAGTACTTCAGAGTGAAAACAGGCTGGGTCATTGATCGAAATCGAATTGCGGGTTGCAGGAGATGCTGACTGAAGGAAAGACTGTAGTGCTAGGGAGGACATAGATGGAATTTTCCAAGTAGAAGACTTTCAGGAAGAATAGGGCCTGGTAATTTGAGTCAGTATTAACTTTAACCACCACAAATATAGAAGCTATTTATTTTCCTACTGTGGAAAAATAACCTTTGGCTTTATCTGGAAAGGGTGAAAGTGTAAGATCAAATGCAAATAGTTACATCATATGCTAAATTAGAACATGGGTTCTTCAGAGTCTAGACATAAGAAAATTCTAAACTCCTTTAATTTGATTCAGGCTCAATCTCTGTCTCTCTCTAACAGCAATGCTGTAGGAGAAATGTATCATGCATGGCCAGTTCAGAGTTTATTTGTTCTTTTCTGTAAGAGATTTCAATAGCAAGCACACAATGAGACCGAGTCCTTTAAATCCTACAACATAGTAGTTAGGTAAACAATTGGAAAGACAGGTCTTCGTCAAAAGCACACAGAACTGTATAGGAAATCAATGTTATTCAACAGAATTTGGAAGATATTCTAAAAGACTCTGCTTTCTACATAGAGGGCATTGCTTCTATTTTGAAAGGGTAGATTCAAAAGGGTACTGGACACTACAGCGTACCTATTTGACTGAGATGCATTTATTATCTTTTTTTTATTCTGAATCAAAAATACATCTCAGTTTCAAACTGATAACATGCTCAGCAATTCTGTTTGGTACCACAGTGGCCTAAAACGGGTGGGAAACCTTTTTCCTAGCAGAGGCTATTGATTCCCAGAAAAAAATCAGCTCTATACAGCCCCATGGGGAGAGCATGGAGGCACAGGCAAGAAATGAGGAGTTCAGGGTGCAAAAGAGAGCTCCAGGTGAGGGCAGAGAATTGGAGTGCATGAGGGATGAGATTTCTGATGGGGGGGTGCAGGCTCTCAGGGGGGGAAGCTGGGATTGAGGAGTCTGGGAGGGAGTTATGGGTGCTGGAGAAGGCTGGGAAAATGGGGTGGGGGTGTAACTCTGGGAAGCAGTTTGGGTGTGGGAGGCGGTTCAGGGCTGGGTTGGGGCCTGGGGCATGAGATATAGGAAGGAGTTAGAATGTGGGAGGTGTCCAATTTGGGTCAATGTGGGGGCTCAGTCTGTGGGAGGGAATTCGGGTGCTGGAGGAGGCTCAGGTCTGGGACAGAGGATTGAGGTGCAGGAAGGGGCTGGGTTGGGGTTGCAAGAGGGAGTACAGGGGGATTACCTCAGGCAGCTCTTGTTTGGTGGCCCAGAGGGGCTAAGGCAGGCTGGAGCCTCCCTGTTCACCACAAGCTGAACATGATACTGTTTCAGCTAGTGAGAGGGTGTGACGGCACGTTGGGGTTTTCCCGTCTCCTGCACCCCTGTAATAGCAGGAACAGACTCCACCAGCTAGTAGAATAGAGGTGTTTATTGCTTCTCCAGGATACAGCACAGCACAGATGTAATCTGGTTACAGGGCAGGCCTAGGATGCCTCAGCCCCCCTTGAGATGGGGGAGACCGGGCCCCTAAATCCCAGCCCGTTGCCTAGGCTGTCTCCTCCATGCTCCCAGACAGAAACTAACTCACTCACTTCCAGCCCTGCCCCCAGCCAGGGCTCCACTCCCCTTCTTCCCATTGTTCCGCTCCCTCGGAGATCACTGGTCAAACAGGTTTGCAGCCCCCTTGCATAATGACTCATCCCCTGCCCTGCTGGGCCGTGCTGCAGCCAGCAGCCAGTGGAGGTCACTCACAACCCAACCCTAGCAATCAGCAAGGTACCCACACAACGTCACAAGGGGTGGGAGGTGAAAAGGTTCAGGGCTTCCAGCGTGTGGGGCAGAGACTTGCCATGGGCCAGGATGAAATTAAGCAGAGGGCTGGAGGTTCCCCATCCCTGATCTAATATATTTTCAAGGAAGTTCTTTTGCTTCTAAGAATCAAATGCAAGTCTGAGACATATCTGTCTGCTGGTGCCTAAGTGAGAATTATGTACACGGGTAATGAGCACTACAAAAACTTTGAAGTCACAATAAAAGAAGGCTGTTAACTACCTTAAACAGATTTCACCCGTCTCTGTGATGTTCGGATGCCAGATTCTAGTCAAACATTTTACCTTTGGAGGCTGCCAAAACACAAAACAAACAGAGATTACAATGCCAGCCTTTCAAATAAGTTAAATCACTAACAAACCATTATGAGTTGTACAGTTCCTAGAAACTAAAATTTAAATATAGGTAACCTCAGTCCAAGTACTTATGCTAATCTGGTAGTTCTGCAAACTGTCAAAATACCTTATGAAGCAGTCTAAATGGAGCAGAACAGGATATAAAGCTATAGCAACACTGCTGCTTTCCCATTCAATACTATATTCCACTTTTAGTCTTTGTAGACAAGAGGAGGAAGAGCAAAGATTCTTTTCAGTGTGATTTCCCCTTATCGATAATTGTGCTAAATAAATCCATCTTACGCTGTATAGAGATCTACACAGTGTAAGCTCATGACATTTGCCCTCAATGTATAGAGATATGCAAAGGCTCCTTTGCCTTGGTAACATTTACTTACACTGGGTTAATAAAATCACATTTGTGTATTAAAAAGTATTATAAAAGGTAGGATTTAAGTGTTCATAAAAGACAGCACACAGAATAAAGTAGGTTACTAAGCAAAATAAAACAGAACATTCAAATTAAGCTTAATAAACTAAAGAAACTACAGCTTGAACCTCTCTAGTCCCACATCCCCAGCGCCTAACTAGCACCGAACCAGAGAATTTGCCCATCTATGGGAGGTCAATATTGTCTCTAGCAGCATTGCCAACATTTCCACTATTTACTGGGCTCTTTGAAAACACTGAGGGTAAATTAGAGCTAAATAGCAGCACAGAACCCTGAGAGCCAGGACAGGACTGTAAACAGGACAGGTGACTATAAACAAACTTTATGGGACCACGGGAAACTTGGCCACCCCCATGATAAGTAGACATCCAACTAACTAAAATCATGCCAGACCATGGATGTTGCCATAGGAGAGAATGCCAGACTAGAGAGGTTCAACCTGTAGTTACATGTAATCTCTCACCCAACAAATTGTCCTATCATCAAAGACTAGGTATTCTTCCAGTCTGGACCCAGTTAATCCCGTTCAGCCTTATTTCTAGTAGTCATCTTAGGCAGGGTGCCAGGGAGAAATGACCACCAGGGTTACCTTATTCTTCACTCTTAAATAGGTTTTGCAAAAGGCAGGAATTCTATGTTCAGTCTAAACTTGCCCTCTGCTCTTGAGGAAAACTATAGCATTCAAGATGGAACTCAGCATCAGGTGACATGGCCCCATCTTGGCAGGACCCCAACAGTCCCTCCTCCCAGGTTAACAGAAGGACAATCTATTCACAGATCACAGTCTTGAATATTGGGCCATTAAGTTCCTTAAATATTACTAATGGCCCTCACTTAGCATGATTACATTAGTAACACAAGTTTATACTTCATATTTCTAACTTCAAATACAGGAATAATACACACACAAAAGGACATACACATTCAGCAGATTATAGCCTTTCCAATGATATGTTACATGAAGTACTTTGCATAAAGCATATTTCAGTTATGCAATATCCATATTATAAGCTTATTTCCATAACGCATAAGGAACACCTCATCACAAATACCTCTTCTGTGTATGTCTTCAAACAGCTTGTTGTTAAATATTAAGTACTTAGTGTTTTATTTTGAAATAAAGAAAAAATACTTTTACGTACTTACACACACAGCTACGGTAGTTCACCAAACTTCCTAGTCCCCACACCTGGAGGAATTCTGTACCGCTCCGCAATGCAGCATTTTGCAGAAATTAACATTGTGCTTGCTGAATTTCTTTTCCCCACAGAAATGGGCTGCAGTGTTGCTGGCCAGCAACAGGGACCCCTGAACTCAGCTCAGCTTGCACACAAAAGACATCACTGGGGAGGAGGTGTGTGTGGGGAGTGAGGGTGGGGAGGGAGGGGAAGTAGTGGTTTCCTGACGGTTGTA